TGACACCCACTGCTGCTTCGTCCAGCACGCCACCACTCCCCTCCCCACCATCTTAGTCTACATTTACCTTCCGTCTAGGTCCTCGTCGGACCAGCCAAATACTGCATCAGCTCGTAGGCAGAGCCTCAGCTGTATCGATACTCACCATACACAACTGCAGGCAAGAATCGAGTAACTCGACAGCCGACGCTGCCACTCCCTCTGATGCGCCTACAATCACTGCCTTGCCGTCTTGTCCCTTTGTGCACATTTCTACTCATTTTGTCAACACTCTGCTCATCTACCCATCTATGCTCCACCACAATGCATTCTCCACACAATTTATACTCTTACCCTTACCCTACTACCATCGTCCCTACTTCCCTTAGCAGCAACTCACGGCCTTTACTAACCACTCCATGAGTAGCATCGCCCTCCACTACTGCACCTTCCTTCTTGGAGGTGCGATGTATGCATTTTGAAATGACAAGTGTGTCTTTAGATGTAGTTTCACTTAAGGCAGAATAGTGTCCATAGCAAAGACTTCTCCTGCACATGTGGGGAAGGTGAAGAAAGCGACAGCCGGATTGAAAGCGAAGAAGGCTGTGGAGAGGTGGCCTGAGAAGGCTGTCCAAGCCAAAACTCCAAAACAGGTGGATGGACTACCACCCAATGCGAATGATGCGAAGTCGAAGCGAATGGTATCGTAGAGTGAAAAGGAGTCCTCCAAGCACCCTGCGAAGTCATAGGGATTGGTCGCCTTGCAATGTCGAGATAGATCAAACCACGCAGTCATGTTAGGACCAATGCCTCGATGGTGTAACTTGCAAGATAATGTCGCAATTGGAGGCTGAGATTGTTTAGTAGTGGAGGGTGGAGACTTGGCTTCGAATATGCACAAGTTTCCTGGTACTTTCATGGAGGTTCAGCCTTGTTGAATAGAGAGAGTGAGAAAGGTGATGAAGTTGATGATCATTGCAAACGATGATGCTAGGCATAATTGCATGAAGATTGCATGGCGAGCAGTAATTGATGAGTTTTACGAGTGCCTTCGTTTTGATAAGTGGGAGGTGAAGGAAGAGGTGTGGAATCAGTGTAGTCATGGTGGCATGCGTTATGCAGCAAGTGACATGTAGTGATATTGACCTCACACCATTACAATCTCCAAAATATAATCATGGCTCCAATATTCTAGCCATTTCACTATTGTAAAGAGGACATTTCTTTGTATAACCCCACAATTGTTTCTTGTAGATTTGATCCTTGTCACAATTCATTGCTGTATATCTGGCTGTGGTTAAAGGAGCGTATTTGAAAATGATCCCTTCGAAGGCCTTTATCACAGCCTCACCATGCGTGACTTCTTAACATCACATTCTAGGCAAACACACTTTTGCCACCAAAGGTGGTGTTGACTCAACCATAATTTGCTTTCAGGCCAAATACTCGCCACAGACATTCGACCCCAATCCTCCTCTGCTTTTTGTGTAGCCTGTGCCTCAGAAGTACAGAGATCCTCCAGTAGCTTCTCTTTTAACAATGCTCTCTCTCGGTTGACATCATTACTTGCCATATCTTCGTTCGACATGCATGACCAATTACACCGCGGATGCTTCAACACCATCTGCCAATAACAAACCAGGTCAAAACTTGTCTTGAGTGCTCGAACCAATGCTCTCGCTTATCAACGATGTGACGGATGTTTCGCCGCATTCATTCAGCAGTTTTTGAGACAGTTCAATCCTTTGTGCTTCTCTCCTCTCCTCCTTCAATATTTGCCGCACTCATTTATTCGAGGCGGTGTCTGCCGTTGACACATGTGTAGGCGAATATGTGTTTGGAAGGCGCCTAAGGCGAAGGTGACGGTAGTGAAGAAGAATGAGAGGTGAAAGGTAGCAGCGTCAAGTCATGACGAAATGTGGTTGCTTGTGAAAAGGTGCGTTGTCAGTTGTCGGTGCGGATGTTTGCGGCCCTGGTGAAGAAGAGGCACACATTAGACTGGACGGCAGTAAAGGCTCAGTAGGGGAGGGCGGTACTACAGATGGGGTGGTAGTAGATGGCATGAGTTGTTGCAGAGGGAAGTGAAGATGACAGGAGAAGGGTAGAGAGAGAGGTGAAGTTGATGTATGGGAATACGTTGTGGTGGAGCGTGGGTGGGTAGATGAACGGTGTGTGCATGTACGTAGCGAAGGCGTGCGGGTGGTGGCGAGACGTCAAGGCAGTGATGTGAAGGGTGAGGGAGAGGCATTGCGACTTATTAAAATCGGTGTTTACCTACACTTTGGTGTAATGAATATCAATACAGCCCAGTCTCTGCCTACGAGCTGACCCAGTGTTTGACTGGTCCAAAGAGGAAGTAGAGGGAAATCAAATAAAGGCAAATGTGATGATTTCGGTAAAGGTGTATGTGGGCGGTGTAGTGGCATGTTAAACAATGCAGCGACCCAGTTCCTCGTCGTCCTTGTCGTGGTCGTTGCCATAACTTAGGCTGCAGGATGATGTGTAGTGCTGTGATATGGGTCGACGCGAGGCATCGGTGTGGTGGCACACGCTGCGTCGTGATGGTAAATAAGCTGAGCTACGTCTGATTTCTGTGCTCATTGTGTTACGCCACAGTTAATGAGGGGAAAGCAAATGAGGAGACCGTGCCACCTAAATCCCTTTCGATATGAACGCATCTGCGCCACCTCCCCATCTCAATCCTTCCCATGTGCTTTAACAGAGCAGGCGGGCACTGTAGATAGGAAGTATGGGCTGCGGCCTCCATTGCCCGATATTACTACACATAAATTTTGTCCATCTTCTGACTTCGTTTACTATTCAGATCAGACCACACCGTTGGCAGCAACTCCTTGGAGAAATGCAAAACCTCCTGCTACTGAACGCATAAATGTGTAATGCATAATTGCAAATGCATTGGAATATATGCATAAACGTGTGTAAGCAATATGCATTAGTGTAGGTGATTAAGTATATGTGATTGTACATGAGTAGGTGCTGTGCAATTTCCAGCATATTGATTAAGAAATGCGCAAAGTGCGGACGCATTGTGTGCTATTTTCCCACTTTGCTGGAGTCGTGCTGCTTCTCCCAGTCAGAGTGTGGCAAGTTCTCCTGCCGCCATAGAACACGATCTACCCCACATGAGTCCCACTTGCGGTACCACTGGTTCGTATTTGCAGAAATGGCTGTGAATTGTAAGACAATGTACTTAAAGGAACAATTATTTGACCAAGCTCTGTGGATCTCATCACCACAACGCATTGCCATGCTTTAGTTTACATGACCTTTTATTCAGTCATCGGTCCACTTGCTTTAGTATATGTTGTCGGATTTGCAATGCTGATAGGCTGTTGATGCTTACACTACCTTGTCACATGAATGTTTAACAATGCATTCAAACCTAGCAAACCACTTGATGAATTGCAAGAACTTCCTCACTCATGCTTAGTGGTGAAGACAAGCTGTGGTTTCCCAGCTAGATTGTGAAAATGCAATAAAACTGAAGGTGCTTTTACGAATCAGGGTAATACTGCACACCCTGTTCCAGTTGCAGAATCAACATCTTCACAAAATCGTCCAAATGGTGCCTTTTCCATCCTGTGGATAGAGCAGTGCGAAACCAACGAATGAGAGAGAGGAATAATTCCTGATCAAGTAATGAGCGAAACGTGTTTAGCCTTCGCATTCACCTTCCACAACTTGACTCCAATTGCTCATTTCGGTCTTGTTTCTGCTCCTTTACTTCGACTTGAGGATCAAGTACTGCCTCCTTTTTACTCACCTTTCCATTCTGCCTGTCTTAATCGCTCCGATGTCGACTTGGAGTTATGGGTACATGGATGAGAAAAGTTGTGAGAGGAATGTCGTGAAAGTTGTTGCTGCTGCCTCCTCCTGTTCCACACGTACTGAAATAACCTCCCATTTGAATAATTCGAAGGAAAGGCGTAGTGGGAATTTCCTTCTCACATGATCTGCTTTTCGAGCATAAACAACCTACATGACATCGCAGTTCAGAATTTGCAAAGTCACTGCAGACACCTTGAGCCATAATGCAGGTGAAATGAGGCAATTCAGAGTTGTGCATGCGAAACCATCCTCCACTTTATGCAAATGGCTCCTATCGTAAAGCAAAAGAAAACTCTGCTGCCATTCTCTTTACCTCACGAATTTATCAGCTGCACTCTTCGAAACACTTGTTTTTAATTACCACTCAACCCTTTACAATTTAAAAAGGAAAAAGTAGAAGCTGCCCACTCGTTGATGCCCTTTGCGGCCATATTCTTCACAGTCAAACTAGTAATGCAAAAATAACACATATTTTCTCCATGGGTTTCAAAAGCACGCTCTACAATTTACTCAAGGTCTGCAATTTGTGTGCAATATTTAGATTTTCCAAAGCAGCCACGACTTGAGAAGAGTATGCACCAATCATTTATTGGAGGGAATATGCACAAAAGTAATTGCGGTCACATGCAGCCTCAATCCCTATTAAGGGATTTTTTCAACCCTACCTAAGTTCTGTCCCATTTTGACACCAAATTCACCAATCGCGGTGCATAAAAGTTTGGAAAGAAGATTTCTACAGACCGTGCATAGGTGAGGAAACACTATTAGATTTCTCTCTTTCTTCTTTATGCACAGACTCCTGTAGTACATCGCGTTCAAATTGGAATGATCAGACATTTGGGCCTTCATTCACGTCTCCATTCATTCGTCGATCACCACATTTTCATTCTTCAGTAAATGAAACCAGTAATCAGACTTTGCTGCTTGGAGCGAGAAAATTTGTTTTCTGTTTAAAGCAAACCACGAATTTCAACTCCTCTCTCCTTTTGCGTAGCATTAGGAATTGCCATCCCCCACAACCTACCCATTTACTCCTTCTCGGAATATGACGCAGTCGGGTGTCTGGAGACGATGGTGGACGTGCAGTTCCATCCCCTTCAACAGGTTCCCTGTAGCACAGTCTACGATGGTGCGTTTGGGACAAGAGTATTGGAGGCAAATCGACTCAAAACAGGACTGATATTTGGTAGTGTCTGAGAGAACAAGTAGATTGCCATGCCAAACTCGACCCACCTAATAGTTAATCTCAATTAAAAGCAAGGCATATTTTACCTGTTTGCCCAAAGTTGACGCGATTTCCTCCAAGCAACCCTAACTTCGTTAGTCTGTGAAGTAAGTCACTCTACTAGCGCATGGCAGTGCTTGTCACCTGCGGTCACCTGTAAATTTTTTCCGCTTTTCACTAGAGGCCATCCTTATTTAGTGCAAGCATCTGCAGAGTGTGGAAAGAATGGAATGCTTGACTTTAAACTCCTTTTGAAAGGGTGCATGCACAAGCAAATGGATAGCAGATTTTAGTGCCGATTTTGCTTCCATTTTGAGGGAGTAAACATTCACGCAAGAAAATATTTAGTAAGTAAAATGCAGACAAATACTTGGTTAATTGAATATTGTGAAGAGAGATCAAGTGAGACTGACTTGAACGAAACGGAATTGTAAGTGAGGAAACATTGCAAAAGACCGCTGTGTCACTATGGCCAAGATGTAAAAACCTACTACACTTTGCTGCCTCAAAAGACTGAATGCACTGCCTCAAATGAGAGCCCCTGATAGATTGCACATTGTACTGACCTGAATAGTCAAGAGAACGGACCACAGAGAAGGGAGAAAAGAGCTCTAAAATGCTTTTACTCACATTGCGTATCAAGATTAATCCGTCCAGGGAATGCACGGGTAGTTGTGGTAACTCAAGAGAAAACATGGCCGATCAGAAGAACTGGATGGTGTGGACGTGAGTGCAAAGTAGAAAGACAATTACAGTTCTCTGTTCGCCATTGCATAAATGGGTATTTGAAATGAAGCACCAGGAGTAACTGTGGCTGGGGATTGGTAAGATATCTTCCAAACAATACCCAATTCTAAATGAATAGCTAACACTTCGGCGAACTGACATCGCCTTCATGCCCATCACATCAGTTGGTCACGAAGAGTTGAATGCCCACCACTGGGCAAGCTGAAGGCAGCTGCTTAATTTTGGGGTAAGCATCTACTCCGTCCTGCTAGTGGTACTTTTTCAAATATGTGCAAGTAACTGGTTTTCTTTGTCAGTTGGACAGGACAGAGTCACTTTACCCCTCATCCACTCCGCCCATTTACTACTCACATGCCACATTCAGAACTGATTGGTGTGTCACTGAGCGAAGGCGACGGAAGTTGCATGCCCTTCGATTAAGACTTAAGAGCTGAAGCAGCTTTGCTATCCCACCACCACAATGTCGACTCAATCGAAGTAGACTCGGGGGTTACTAAGTTAATCGTCTCAACTAACTGGTAAAATTGGCTCGTTTGTTAAAATCATCTCTCTCGTTACCTCCACTTTCCACTCGACCGCAGGACACCAAATTGCCCGATGTGAGCAGAAAACTGTGGTCAAGCCGTCGTCGCAAATTTGTGCTAGTCGCAACTCCTCCTCCTTACTT